GGAGATCCTTCTTCAGTGATACTGAAGGAGCAAAATCTCCTCGAATTAAGTGCGCAACGACCTGGAGGCTTCACTGATACCGCTACCGGGATTTATTCCTTTCTTGAGCTTTCAGATACATCACTCGTATATAGTCACGTCAAAGGCCGCTCTTCGTGCCAAGTCCTTCTCTGAATCTTTTCGCGAGTTGTGCCTTTGAACCGAGCGAATGCGAACATACTATACAATGTCAATATCCGTACTCTCCGGCCTCTTGGATGCGGTACGTAGAGAAGACTCGACAATGTATCTAATAAAACTCGGAATGCGTCAGTAGTTGAGGTTGCTATAAAAAGGTGGCTTCTTGTCACCTGAGAAATTCTCCCCTCCTCATATTTTACGCTCACCGACATGTCTGACATCAAGAAAAAGATGACATTTAAGGCAGAGTGAGTATTTCAGTGACATGCGCGCTGTATTTGGCAGACTAGTTAAGTAGGGGATCAACAAGCCATGCAAGCTCCTCCTGACATTTACGAAGCTGGAAGGCTTGGCAGTGCAGCTGCAGAATTGCTGGAGGTAATCTAATATTGCGAAGGTGCCTCTACTAATTGATATTGAAGAGTCATAGAGTTCGCTGCAAGATGTAAGTGTTGGTTACAGAGATTAGTTCATGTTGGCCAGAATATGCTACTACAGCTGCAAGAACTGCAACTGTGGAGTATGTGCACCAGTGGGTACGGCTGGCAGCGATGGCTGGAGCTAATCCCTGTCTAGGCTCGTCGTCATCATCCCTCAAATAACCTATGACAATGTGATCAATCCTTTGACGTATATACCTGTCAAAGTCAGTCAGCTCCCTCAGACAAATTCTATTTTCACATATTTCCAGGTCGGCGGAGCAGTCAAGCTAGTCCGGGATAAAGAGAATGGTATTCAGATTATTGTAAGCGATATTGAAGCTATCCATTTTTGAACTTAACTACCAATATTCAAGCCTACAGAGAAAGGAACCATGCCAGACTTCGTTGTAGCCAGTAACGAAACTGGAGGAACTCTGAACGTTCAAATTGGTATGTTGCCTACAGCTTAGTATACTTTTGATGTCCGACTTCTTTCTCTCTTGTGTTTCTGAGCAGGCCTGATACCCAACCCACGAAAGGACCCAGATCCGATTGTGAACTTTCCAGAAGTTCTGTGAGAGCCAGTTCCTGATCACCTATGTCGACTTATCATATCTAGGAACTCTCATTCAGTGGAGTTCAAATTCGAACCAATCTTATACGCCTACATTACGTCAGACGTGACAAATGCTCCCTCAAGTACAAGTGAAATCCAGTCGCCGAGTATTTGGGAGCAGGATTTGACCAAGCTGGGTGATGAGACCTATTGGAAGTTGACGTACAACGAACAGCGCGGAACGTACCAGTTGCTCCTAGATGATTGATTAGTCCTCGCATATGTCAGCAGTGAACAAAACTGCAATCAGCCTATATGTAGTCAGAGTGAACGACACACTGAATTGAAGCCGAACGCAAGGATTTTACACAGAGCTTCGCTCGTTTGTAAAAACCAGGAGGTCTAAAGTTCGTAAAATGCTCCTGTGTCCCGGAGATTGACAAACGCCGCACTGAAATGTGAGTCGTAGGGTGCCGGCCGATTTGCGACAAGAATGAAATGCGGACACGCCCCATTCAGGTTGGATCCCTTCGGCCAGCAATAAGCGCTCCAGGGTAGCAGTCCTAAAAGATCACCTGTGAGGTATCGTCGAAGTATGTCCCCAACGGCGCAACGGGTGCCCCGCTCAATGGCTTCCGTCCTCCTAGCGCTCAGGTGACCCGAACGTGTGTGTGGCCCGAAAAATGTCTATTCCGCTCATACTGACCAAAGTTTCTCTTCCTCTTATTCATTGAGATTTTTTTAAAAAAATCTGCATGATATTAATCGTTATCACTCATCTCGGGCAGCGAAAATCAGAATGGAAGTAGACTGAAGAATTCAAATGAGGACATATACTCGTTTAGAGAGTTTCTGCAATTCAAATACCACATTAGATGCCCCCACCGTCCTCTGACTTCAACTGTATACTGTATGTCCGTCCTCTCCACCATCAGTTTGCGCTGTGTGAGATGTCACCATCCTCTCATATCTCCGCGGAGACTCCAAGTCTCCGCTGGGAGTGACATGTGCGTGCTCGCCTCGTATAAGAGTGAGCTTGGTCCTCAGTATCATCTTGCCAGTCGTTGCAGACATCCTTGATCTCGAAAACAGTCTCTCAAATCTGCAGAAATGTCGAACCAATTTAAGAAGAAGCTCATCATCAGAGCCTCGTGAGTGCTACCTGCGTCCAATCTATCAGTCGCATTGATCATCGCCCTAGTGGCCTCGCAAAGGGTGGAACTCTTCTCCTCACGTTCAAGCCTCTCGAAGACATTGGAACTGCACAGCAGAAGGTCGCCTGGAAGTGAGTCGAAGCCCATCCGACTACTTTTCTCAACGCTAACAAAGCTCCATAGGGTTATCCCGTTCGCAACCAACAGTTTGTTGTCTCTCCCGACATATAAATAACATATTAAGCCTTAATTAGCCAACAAGAAGGCTCAAGCCGAATACGTGAACCAGTATGTTGCAGAATTTGCGTCATCCTTACGACGCACTCACCAACATTTTATAGGCTCGTTTTATTGGTCCCCAGATCGATGACGACAACTTGATCAGCCCATCGACTTTCGGGAATGTCAACGTACGCTTCACCTTTGTAGCTACTACACCTCACCTCGCATAGGTCGGCGGTGCAGTAGACTTTACTTTGGACTCGGACAAGAACCTCTTGATCAGCGTGAGCGCCAGTACTCCAGATATATCCAGCAAAAACTTACCTAGAGAACTAGGATACCGACAAGAACAAGAGGCCCGGCTTTGTAGTTGCAACAAACAGCACTGGAAAAATCCAAGACATCGCTATCGGTATGCCCTTTGACGCGCTCTGTACAGTTACTGACACTTGCACCTCGAACAGGTCTCCAGCCCAACCCCAAGAAGGATCCGGAGGCGATCTTATACTTCCCAAAAATCGGGTGCGCTTCTCGTCTCTACCAAAATCTAACTGCCATCTAACAAGAGAAATAGTAACACGTCGCAAGTCGTCTGCAAGTATCATCCCATTTTGCGCGCCTACATGACCTCGGACTACCAGGAGACTGAAGTTATCTCTGGTGAGATCCAGACGGGTATGATCTGGGAGCGGGACCTCGCTCAGCTCGAGGATACAACGAACTGGCGACTTACCTACAACGGCAGCACCGGCCAGTATAGCCTTAACCCAGACGAGGATTCGTAGACGCCTCCTGTAATATCCTTGCAAACGTTTTTTGTCTAGTCGGTGATGCTGTCTTGAGTTCCGGATTGCACGAGGGGAGGTGGCGTATCCTCGCGTTTAGTGTAAAACGGATCAAGTATATCGGGAAGCGCACTCTGAACACTCCGCCGACAAAAGTGGATTCCAACTAATCGTGAGTATAAGATGCTTACTCGAAATGTTCGCTTGTCAAATGAAGGTAAGACATCGCTAGCATCAAGTCGGTCGCATTGTAGTACACTTCTAGGGCAACAAGCCTCGTTTAGCTAAGAGAGCGTAGGAACAGACCACGGCATCCACCCAGCTTGGTCAAAGTTGAGGTTCCCGTCCGTCTTGAAGATGGCAGTGTTGGCCGACGACTGGTCGAACAAGAAGCGTTGGACAAACGCGGTGAGCTCGGTCTGTTGAGAAGACGGGAACGAGCAGTGATTGTGGTTCCCGACTTGGGAAAAGCCCATATTTGACTGCACACCGAGGGCTTGGTAGATCGTTTGACCTGCCTTCATGCAGCCAAAGCAACTCATGTTGCCCAGCCACTCCATGGACGTGTTCTCAATGACCAGTAGTCCCCGTGGCGCGACCATACCAGCGAGCAGATGGTGGTCGAATGGTAGGCGAGTGACAGAGGTGACAAAGGGGTCAAACGACTTGGAGAACCAGACATTCTCTGTGATAATCTGGGACGCCGTCTGAACATTCTGACCGCTGCTTTTCTGTGCATCAGAGAGACGCCAGCACGCCGAGCCACCAGATCCAGATTCTTGGGGAATAGTGAGCGCAACGCGGGTATCGAATGCGCCGGCGACGATGGCGCCTTTGCCGTTTCGAGAGCACCCAGTGACGCCAATCTTTGCTGGATTGATACGCACGTTGGTAGTGGTCTCGATGGCGTCAATAATTCTGCTCACCCCCCACGCCCAGGCGATGAGGGCACCCGCACTGTGGTTGCTCCCGTAGAGGGTGTAAAACTTGCCAGAGCCACGACTACCGCTATTTTGCTGGGCGGCAATATCATCGTTGTTGAAGGTGATGACAGCGACGCCAGCGGGCGTCGGGATACTCATGGCGCCGTACGCAATAATGGCAGGGTAGGGCGCGGTGCCAGAGGAAGGGTAGGAAATGCTGACGGAGAACGAGATGGATTTGCCGGCCTCGGAAACGTTGATAGTCAAGGTGTTACCGCTCATAGAGCCGGTGACAGAGGAAGGCTTGGGAGGTTTTGTTCCAAGCTCGTTCGTCTGCATGAGTTGACTGATCTCCTCGCGTCGGCATTGCCATTCAGCCTTGGTTATGACTCGAGATCCAGAGGCTCGTTGGAATGGGTCGGGGAGTTTTGGAATCGTGGACGATGTAGGATTGCCGGAGAGGGGGGTGCAAGAGCCAGAGGGTTGGGGGGACGTTGAAGTTTGAGAGCTCTGAGTCGTGGTGGTTGCCTGGATGCTAGAGCTAGAGCTCGACGGCGTTAGCGTCGTAGAACTGCTGGTTCGTGTTGTAGTGGACGTCGCCGTCCCAGGTAGGCACTGACTGTACCAATCGTTGACATAGGTACACACAGCTCCTGAAACGCAAATTTTGGACCCATTGTAGTTGATACCTCCACCTGGAAATAGTCAATGCACGTCTCAGCTTGCCTAGGTGCCAAACTTACACTGTCCCCACATCCCGACAGATTGGGCGATAGCAGAGCCAGCAAAAAGAAGTGCAGGTACAAGTCGAAAAGCCATGGTGAATATTCTGCTGTATCAGCCTCGCATTGCTACGACTCTTTATAGGGGTCACAGTGGTCTGCACGATTGAAAATTCGGGGTTTGTCCCCATACGTCTTTGCGATGTTTGTATGTGGGACTTCGCTATTCGAACAAGCGAAATGACACGCCAAGCTGCTGCGAAGGTCCTCGTATTGTGGACGACGAGAATGAACCGAAGAAAGTTGCTCGTGTTGAGAATCACATGATGGGCGGTTCAACAGTGATCAACCACTCGAGAATTCAGTCGAGCAACCCTTGGCAAGAGCCAGTCGCCTAAAACTTGGAAGATTTCGTGTGAGAGGGAGTCGCACGTCGAGGGTGTACGGCTGGATTTGAGGGACGCCATGTTACTCACTTGGAAGCTCCTTAGCAGCAGAGTCTTGCCTTTGAGATGTGCCGCGCGAGCACTGCCGACTGGCAGGCTCGGAGGATAGAAAACGTGGCGAGATGCGAAGACGAGGAGCCGCGCATCATAGAATCCCTAGCCTCGAAATCAATCGCCGAGATCAATATCACATAATGGACTACAGCGTACCGGTCGGTGCGTGGGCGGGCCGTTTAACACAATACGAGCCAGAGCCAAGCTCAGAAGTATTGAAAGGGCGTAATATTGTATTCAGAGAACGAGTAGTTGACTGAACAGGATCGCTCGTGGGTCAGATGTTGTTGATTATCCTCGGACATTGCCTCGACCAGGTGCCGTATAATTGCCGTTTAAAATGAAGCCATTCATTCTGATTGCATTCGAGGACTTGGATAGACGACGGTGAAACCTGGTTAGCGAGATTTCGACGCAGAACTTGGCAGCAAACTCACGTGTGTGATTTCTTTGTATCATGATAATGCATTATTTGACTATATACACCTCTTTAGATGTGGTTTATGCTGTCTTCCTTGTGCTTTGCGCTCAACGTCCTCGTGGTTCGAGTTCAAAGAGCGAGTGGACAAGGGCTACAGCTTTACATGCATGAACTGAAGAGAATGTGTATTTATCGGATAGATACATCTTCAGAGATCTCATCTCGACCCAGCTCAGCTCAACGTCGGCATGGACTACGGCATCCAGTTTGCCTTGTCAAAGTTGAGGTTAGCTCCAGCGATAGGAGCCTAGTTTCACCACACCCCGTACTTATACGCTCGTGCTCTAATCCACCAGGGAGATTCCTCAGAAACACCTGTTACGAAGCGGATGAGTCCCCATGAACGCGTTCTGAGGATAAAAATAATACACCACAGAGTGAGGAGAGGGAGTCGTCGTGGCGCCGATTGACGAATATCAACCGAAGAAGACTGCCAAGCTATGGACGACAGTATCACATGTAAAACAAGCGTAAACAGGCACCTATTCTTCTCGAAATGACATTCGCCTAATGTCTGGAAGATTTGCGACATCATGGGGACATCTTTGTCTCGTCACGGTCCGGCTGAATACGTCAAAGTGCCGCTCCATCCTTGGGTCTGAGTAATTTCCCTTCTCACATGAATCAAGATCACGTTGACAGTCCCCAAGAACTGGCGCGTTTAGACGTGCCGTACCAACAGAGACCCTGCTCCTCGAGGGTTCATAATTGTAGAAAGTGAGATGAAGTTTGATTTCAACGGACGTGGGCGTGCCGCCACGGCCCGCCGCGGAAAACTGTGTGCGAAAAGGGGGGATTCTCAACGCCGCAAATTTGGTCGCATAGGGTTCGGCATTCCATAACTATCAAGAACACAACGCGTCGAACCTCTACAGAGTACCGTGGACAAGAAGACGCCGACTGCACGAGTCGCCTCCATCTCGAAAGCGGCTCCAAGGCAAAGCACGCGCAAAGAGAAGTGGGAAGAATTATGCAGCTCTGAGAAATGATTAGGCAGCGTAAGAGAGAGACGGACTTCTTGTGGGCGGCCTTGATGGCAGCGATTTTCTGCTTCTTCTCGTCGCGACGCTTGGCAAGGAGTGCCCTTTGGGATGGTCAAACATAGTTTATGGGATATGTCGAACACACGTACTCGTACTCCTTCTTTTCGTTTTTCTGAGCAGCGAGTCTTCGGTTCTTGAGCGAGCGGAGGTGACGGCGTCGCTGGAGACGGATGGGAGTGACGAGACGCTGAATCTTGGGACTAATAGAATGTTATATTTCGTCTAGACGAGATGTACGGAGAGAACATACGCCTTGGTATACGGCTTTGCGTCTTCCTTCTTCTTGCTCTTGACCTCGCGACGAATGACAAACTTGCGAACGTCATCCTCTTTGCTCAAGTTGAAGAATTTGCGAATCTTGGTCGCTCGCTTGGGACCGAGACGCTTGGGGAGGACGTTTTCGGTGAGACCGGGAATTGGCTGCTCGCCCTGCTTGACAATGACCAAAGAAAGAACGGCGATATCCGGACCGACGATGCAGCCACGGACACTCTTGCGCTTGCGTTCACCCGTTCGTCGGGGTCGGTAGCACAGTGACCGTCGGCGAGAGAAGGCGGACACGGTATGGGAGGAGGACGCCTTGTTTCATTGGGAAACCTTGCTTGTCGTTTCCACCGGTGATACGGAAGATGTAGCCCTTCCATTCGTCTCCGAGCGGGTCGCCTGGAACCTCTTGCGAGATGCGCTTTTCGTAAAAGTGACGGCTAGCAAAAAAAGTGTTAGGTGGATACTTTATATCCTATACAAGTAACTCACAAGCGACGCTCGTCGTCGAGGTCAATGGTCTTTTGTTCACCCGTGGCCGGGTCTGATGTCGATTATGAGCAAATGTATTTTCCAAAGAATAAGAGAAATAAGACGCACTTGCAATGTTAAACTTCATTTTCTGTCGACGCAACCAACGACAACCGACGCATGATCAGCTCGTCTCGTTGTCATATCGCCACGACGAGCTCACCGATTACAAGACGGGACCGCAGAGAATTCCCAACGACGTAGATTCCAACGACGCGATGGATGCAGTCAAAGTCCAAAGTCTGGGTGAGGGTTTGGGCCGTTTGTTTGGCCGCAAAACCTTATTGGCGTCGACCTTTTTGTCCCAGACAAGAATCCACACAAATCAAAACTTGGATATTTTCTAGTCTACAGAGGATTATTCGTGCGTATAGACTGCCATAGACGACCGCTGGCTCATCGTATCCTCTTGGGCAGATCAACCATGGGTCGTATGCACGCTCCCGGCAAAGTGTTGGTATGCTACAATGCTATTATCACTATACCACTCATAATATATCCATATAGCCTCGTCTGCCTCCCCTATCGTCGCGCACCACCAACTTGGCTCAAGACGTCGCCAGCCGATGTCGTCGACCACATCGGAAAGCTCGCAAGAAAGGGTCTTACTCCTCGCAAATCGGTGTTACCCTCCGTGACTCGCACGGTATCCCCAAGTCCGATTCGTGACTGGTAACAAGATTCTGAGAATACTCAAGTCGCAGGGTATGTCATTTTCATCTATATGCATTCATTTGGTCATATATTTACCCATTATTCAGGTCTCGCACCGTCTATCCCAGAGGACCTGTGGCATCTCATCAAAAAGGCAGTGGCCGTTCGCAAACATCTCGAGGTCAACCGAAAAGACAAAGACTCCAAGTTTCGTCTGATTCTCATCGAGTCGCGTATCCACCGTCTGGCGAGGTACTACAAGTCGAAGCAAAAGATTGCCCCGACATTCAAGTACGAGGCTGCGACGGCCAGCACGCTCGTTGCATAATCGACTTGTCGAGTGGGCTTCGAGGTTTCTTGGTATGGCGTACTCTTCATGTCTATGTCCTACATCAAATAGCAACGAATATGCCATACTCGTGCGGTTGGTGAGCCGACAATGTCTGATTGGATATCATGAAAAGTCCCTGAATGTTTGCGAATACTCTACGGTACTCTATTGTTTATAATATTTCCCAAACTGAGACGGAAGGTCACTAGTCTACGAGGGGTGGGGAAAAGAAGATCTTTCATAAACTGGATAAAAATATCTCACTGAAAATAGAGTGAAGATTCCCTTGAGATAAACGGGTAACAGTGACAAGATTTTGATCTCACCACAGTAGGTCAATTCGACGTTGCCATCCTCAGCGGAACCCATAGCGGTCAGCTTCAAGCGGATCTGGGCATAAACGGCAGAAAAAGATGATGATTTGAGCGAAAATCAAGTAGGCTACAGGACGTTGCTAGGAAGCAGACGAGGACGTGGACCGACTGACGAGCTAGATGACATGGCTACCGACGTTCCTGACACTAGGCTGATATTGCTGATAGTCCGAGATGTACGGCGGCGCCCCGGCAGCTGTTGGTCCTGGTGGCTGAGTGTGGTCGTCAGTCTGGGATATTTGCATCAAATATTCACATGAAATGGCCCTGAGATGTGGCGCGAGAATCCAAAGGGTACCTAGGGGCTCATTTCGACTAAGAGTCTTGGTTATGGGAATATTTGGTGTCCCCCGTGCCTGACCGGTGAGCCTCTCCGACGCACGCGCCCAAACAAATAGTCCTTATTCTTGTCCTCTTCCACGTCTCTCCTCTCCGTTTGCTCTCTTGTACCAAAGTCGCTCCTCGAGCGCATCTCCCTTCGTTTCTTCCAATCCGCTCATTTTCCTCAATAATGCTGGCAAACTCGTTTGTCGCCCTCTCGGCGGCAGCTCTTGCGACGCTTGTCCCCTCTGTCCATGCCTTTTTCCGCATGCCATGCTCGCAGCCCGTCGTCGTCGAGCGCAGTGACCCGTGCGTCTACCCTCCGTCCCTCTTCGGCCGTTCGACCCTTGTGGCTGACAACTCGACTCTGCAGCATCGTCAATCCTGGAGCCATATCTGGTCATCTGCACACAATTATGGGCGGATCTAACTTTAATTTTACCCAGACGTATGAAGATGCCAGACGCTCGGAGTGCACCTCTTGCAAGGCGCGTCTGCCTTTTTCTTTTCTTTTCCGAACCCGTCGACTAAAACCACGTCTAGGCTACCCAAGACCGATCAAACTATTGGACCCCAACGCTCTTCTATCAAGCCCAGAACGGCTCCTTTCACCGAGTCGAGCAAAACGGAGGCATGACCGTCTACTACCTCCAGCGAACGGGCAGTGACAAGAAGCCCGTCCAGGCCTTTCCAGCAGGCTTTCGCATGCTCGCAGGCGACCCTTTTCTCCGTTCCTACGACCCGACTTCGCTCAGTCAAAAGGCCGTGTCGCACGTCTGTCTAAACTACAAAGGAGATTCTCCCGAGACACCAATGATTCCGAATCGCAACTGCCCCGACGGTCTCAGGACTCAACTCTTTTTCCCGAGCTGTTGGGATGGTGTCAATCTCGATTCAAAGGATCATAAATCGCACATGGCTTATCCGAGCGGCATGAACAGCGGCGACTGCCCGGCCACGCACCCTGTCCGTTTGGTCTCCATCTTTTACGAGATTATCTGGAATGTCAACGACTGGAAGAACATGTGGTGGAAGCCAGACGGATCCCATCCATTCGTCCTCTCGATGGGCGACCCAACCGGCTATGGCTTCCATGGTGGTTCGTCTTTTTATATCTCTCCTGGGGAACGATAAGCTCACATCCGTTCTAGATTTCCTCAACGGATGGGATATTGCCGCTTTGCAACGTGCGCTCGACAAATGCACTCAAGACTCTGGAAGAATCGAAGATTGCGCCGGAGACCTTGAACTGCAAGACGACTCTCTCATGAAGGACTGCATCAACCCAACACGTGTCGCTGAAAACACACTCGGCTGGCTCCCCGCCCTCCCAGGATGCAACCCCGTCACCTATGGTCCTGGACGTGCCTCGCCCCAAGCGTGCCCAACCGTTCCCTCTATCCTCAGCCTCGATCAAGTTGGCTTTGAGAAAAAGGATGTTCCCTTTTGGGATCCAGTAGGATGCGCCAAGGACGACCTCAACAACCGTCTCTTGCCCAGAAAGTTCTCCGACCCGGCAATGACGATTGAGATGTGCGGGAATCTATGCCATAATAATGGATACACCTACGCTGGTGCCCAGTGGGGTGTCGAGTGCTGGTGTGGTTCTAGTTTTGACGAATCGAGGGCTAATTTGCGCGGAAGTTGCTCTCAGCCGTGCGCAGGAGATCGGACCGAGATTTGTGGTAACGGTGGAATGCTCAGCGTTTACAAGTACAACCCCAACAAGAATACAACCCCTTCGTCTAGCTCGAGCACCCGTGTCTCCAGTTCGAGCACTCGGGCCTCTAGCTCTAGCGCGACTGTTCCAGCCGCTACCAGCACCCCACCGACGGCATCTGTGTCCGCTCCAGAGGGTACCAACCCTGTCTCTTCCTCGTCGAGCACTTCCAGCACCGCCTCTTCGTCGTCCAGCTCCTCTGTCGCCACGTCAAGTTCCTCTTCATCTGTCCAGTCAAGCTCTTCCTCCACCCAGTCCAGCTCTTCCTCCGCTCCGTCGTCAACTCCCACGGGCTCCGTCCCGGACCCACGTTCTCACGGTGCGCCACAGGGCTGGTTTTACCGCGGATGCTATTTCGACCAAGTATGGCCATATCGTACACTTGATGGCGCTGGACAATGGAATAGCGATAAGATGACGCCCGCGCTCTGTACCGAACGATGCGCCTCCAAGGGATTCTTCATGGCGGCGACCGAATATGGTGGCGAATGCTATTGCGGAAATTCAATGAGAGGAGGTGCAATCTTGAAAAAGGACGAAGAGTGCAATTTCAAGTGCAAGGGAGACGCGAACCTAATGTGCGGTGGCGCGGCGCGTATGAGCGTTTATGCGCGTGATATGCGTCGTATTCGACGTGATGGATTGATGGAGGATGTAGAGATTGTGGCGAGAGAAGAGGTCGAGGTCGTCGAACGCGAGGTCAAGGACGAGGTCGTCAAGCGAAATATCTCGTCGGCCAAGCGCTCCAATGTCCATCGTCGTCGCCATTTACTTCATGGACGCCAACGAGCTTCGCTCGACGTCGAGGCCAACTAAGCGCCATCTGCTTTCTCTGACAAATGGAAGAACTCAACGACAAGAATGATTCCAACTTTTCTTGGTGATACAAGCCTACTTACCAACGTTTATTCACTCTTTTTGGAAATGGACCTTGGTGTCCATACGCACGCTCGTTTGCAACCCGCGTCTACCCCCTTCCCTCCCCTTCTCTCCAGGCTTCGTGACGACTCATGACCGTCGACGATCCTACTCTACTCCCTGATATACTGAACCTGGTTCTCTTTCGTGCGCAGTCTATCGGCACCGAGTGTCGGTAACGACTCGCGACTTGTTTCTTGGTGTTCTAAACGAGCACACACGCAATCATTGCTCGGCGGCGCGTCGACGCGTCGTCGTCTCATACCCTCTCTCCCTCTCTCTCTCTTACTCTCAACGGCTCCACCCCCCCTTTTTTTTTTTGCTGCTTCGTAGACTCGGCGTAGAATCACTCGTCAAATGGATACCATCCCTCACTCGCTCTGCTCGTAGAACGAGCGGGCGCGTATCTCGCAGTGCGAAATGGTTTTTGTGATACGTAGACGTCGTTCTGGAATGACAATGTGTTCAAATCATTCGTAGGCTATGGCCGTTCCTCATTTCAACCTTGTTGCAGAGGTATTGTTTAGATACTGTATCGGGCAACATCACCAGTTGGAACAAGAGTCATTTCCTTGCGGGGACGATACAGGTATATCTAGGAGTCTTCGTCCGGTGTGAGGCTGTACGTTTCAGATCCACTGTCGTAACGAAGATACCAGCTCGTAGCTTCCTCTAGCTGGGAAAGATCCCTCTCCCAGATAATATCCGTTCGCCTCTCACCCGAGATGAGTTCTGTCTCTCGATAGTCTGTGATCATATAGGCGCATAAAATCGGGTGATACTTGGCGACAACCACGGCTGGGTTACTATCATCATATCGTCAGGCATAGAGATAGGGGCAGATATGAAGGCGCGTACTCCGTTTGGGGAATCGGATTGTTTCTTGGAATTGGAAGGAGACCTGACCCAGAATGATCACTATACCTAACGACTATATAAGAGTGCTGAATAACATACCGAGGGTCATGTCCTGACGCTTTTCGGTGCCGCTCGTTGCAGCGGTGAAGCCAGCGTTCTCATCCTTGTTTGTGCCGGTTAACTATCGCTTAGATTAATCAAAATTGACCATTGGATGAACTTAAAAGAGTAGCACTCACGCCGACTAACACGTTCTGGTCCGAATCCATCGCAGATTCCACAGTACCCCCAGTCTGTTCATTGTCAGCAAGGCGTCAAGCGCGAGACATGGGTGCCCAAAAAGGTTGACGTACGTCGACACTTGCGTGCTTTGCTTTATTGATCGAATTCTCCTCGCCGATTTGAACATTGGTAGGGACGGGCTTGCGGATTCCGGTCACTGAGTCAGCTGCCGGTGACTTGTTTATGTATTCGATCTCGGCCGTCATTCTGACTAGTCTAGCGGTGAACAAATATATCTACCAGTCACCTGGAATAACGAACCATCTTTGGGAAACGAAATGACTCTAGATCCATTCCTCAGCGATCAGATGGCCACGTGAATTTGACTTTACTCACTTCCAGGCGACTGGCTTCTCCTTGGAATCAAGATCTTTGAGAGGTTTGAAGGTGAAGAGAAGATATCCACCCTTGGCGAGGCCACTGTCGAGTTCAGTCAATAAGAAATAATGGAAAGAGATGTATTCACGAAGTGCGGAAAATGAGCTTTCTCCTGTATGTGGACATAAGAACTAAATTAGCAAGGGAGGCAAACTTGTGACGGCTAGAGAGACACGACATCAGTGGCACTTTCGCTTATGCCATTCATAGGTTCCAAATGATTACCTGTGCGGGAATCGTCGAGAGACCGAGAGACCAAGCCAGACAAGGAATTTAGAACAGAGCGAGGGAGAGACTCGACGGTCTGGAAGAATATCCAGGAAGACCAGCTAAACGGTGCGTACATGTACAGGCTGTCTTAAATAGAATTTGGGACTAAGGATGAATATCCGAGCGAAATAGGATAATGGAGCGGTCAGGTGACAAGCGCTATTAGTGGCGGACACGCACGCTTCATGCAGCCTTCGGAGTTTTCGATTCTCCGGGCCTCAAAATCTTCAGCAAATACAATGGATACGCCATTTTCGTAGAAGTAGCTCCAGACAGGGTGCTTGGCGGCATCTTTCGAGTATAAAGATAATGGTATTGTACTTCAAATCTGTTAGATTTCGTTGCATTAGTGTCTGTGGGCGTGGTATACTCCTATTTAATACTAGCATTATATGCTTTTCGACCACTATCTCGGTGCTCTGAAGGGCACATACTGGCGGCGCGCTGGCGGTGGTCCTTTAAACCTCTCTCCCCAATAATCTAACTTTCTCATTTTATTCTTCGGAGACTTGATAGTGAATCGACCAACTGGTACCACCTTTCACCACCCTTACGACGAACAGACGCATTTTAGTATCGCTACGTGTTTATTTCTCCCAGGTGTATGCACGCACTCACCGTTCGTAGCTTATGACCCCTCATAATCTCGACTTTCGTTGCGCAGCCTAGACCTCAAAAAGTCACCAATTAGGGGACGGATCATGTTGCAAGGATATTACAATGCATTTACTAATCCTCTTCAGGCGTAAGGCTGTACTGGCCTGTGCTGCCGTTGTAGTTAAGTCGCCAGTTCGTAGTGTCATCAAGCTGAGCGAGGTCCCTCTCCCAGATCATACCCGTCTGTATCTCACCCGAGATGACTTCAGTCTCCTGGTAGTCTGAAGTCATGTAGGCGCGAAGGATAGGATGGTACTTGGCAACAACCATCGAAGTATTACTAGTATTCCCGTTAGATCGAAATTCGAGGAACTCAATGGCAAGAAAACACACCCGACTTTGGGGAAGTACAAGATTGCTTCGGGATCTTTCTTCGGGTTAGGTTGGAGACCTAATTTCCACAAAAGTGTCAATCCCTGAGGATGTGCATGGGGAACAACGAACCGATGGCAACATCTTGGACCTTTCCTGTGCTATTCGTGGCAACAATAAAGCCGGGCTTCTTGTTTTTATCGGAGTCCTAGTTTCGCATATAAGTCTCTCTGTCGATAGATTCGAGCGCACTTGCTCACACTAATCAAGAGGTTCTTGTCCGCGTCCAAAGTAAAGTCTACTGCACCGCCGACCTATTCAAGATGAGGCGCAGTCGCTACATAAAGTAAGTGAAGCGTACGTTGACATTCCCGAAAGTTGATGGGCTGATCAAGTTGTCGTCATCGACCTGGGGACCAATAAAGACGAGCCTATAACGCCTGGTGAGCCTTCCGTTGGAGAGGGACCAACACCACTTACTGGTTCACGTATTCAGCTTGAGCCTTCTTGTTGGCTAGAACAGAAGATTAAAAATTTAACTCAAAGTCGATTAGAATGACAAACTGTTGGTTGCGAACGGAATGACTCTATGGAGCAGTGTTAGTGTCAAGAAAATACGTAGCTAGAATTCGGCTCACTTCCAGGCGATCTTCTGCTGCTTGGTGCCGATATCTTCAAGGGGCTTGAAGGTCAGGAGAAGGGTTCCACCTTTGGCGAGACCACTGTCAAGACCGGTCAAAGACGAGATTGTGGAATGTATGATAGTTTACTCACGAGGCTCTGATGATGAGCTTCTTCTTGAATTGTTCGGACATGTTAGAGACTTTGTAGGACTGTTTGCTATGCGAAAGACGTTCGAGACGACTGGAGAGATATCAAAGAGATACCGACCCACCTTTATAGGATTTCCCAGAGCTCAGGTCACTTGCAGCGGAAGTTTCGAGTTTCCGGACGCAGAGTAGTAGATCCGTGACATTTCGAGTGAGGACGATGCAGGTATTGAGGAGGTCGGTCGAGAGGAGGCCATAACAGCTGGAGGACGGAAGAGCGAAATGCGCTTCGGTGGCAAATCCTACCCCTGGTATACCGGAATGGCAACACTTCGGGTACTGTAATGCAGATATCTACTGTCACCCAGACTTTGGCACATCAATGCGTGCAAAGATAGAGGAAGGATAGGGAGATTCGGGGATTGACAATCTCCGCGCACCCATGGTGAACCTCAGTGTCTTGACCGTTCTAAATCTATATGAAATCGCCACCTAGTTCACACTTGTAGTGTATGCCGCGGTGAAGTGCTCGCGCAGCGCCGTTGGTTGGTGGTCACGCAATAAAACTTATGCACATTCTCTGTTACTCTCCTCCATCCATAGCTCTGGGAAAGCAGTGGTGGTCATTCTATAGCTCATACCCGCGTTCGGTGGGACTTGGTCAAAATCGTGAAGTTAATTGGCACAACCACTGGTTAATTATCATCGTCTGGTGCGAGGTTGTACATGCCAGAGTCGTCATCATATGTGAGTATCCAGCTCGAGGTATCAGGAAGCTGAGAAAGATCTCTCTCCCACATCAAACCCGTCTGAATCTCGCCCGAGATTACCTCGCTTTCCTGGTAGTCTGAGGTCATATAGGCACGCAGGATGGGATGATACTTGGCGACGACCATTGTCGTATTCCTGTTTTAATGAGCTATGCCTCTGATGCCGACATGTAATGCGCGTACCCAACTTTAGGAAAGTACAGGATGGGCTCGGGATCCTTCCTCGGTTTGGGCTGGAGGCCTATCTGAAATAAGGCATGACATACAAGTCACCGGTTCAGATGCATACCGATGGCGATATCTTGAATCTTTCTGGTGTTGTTCCTCGCGGTAATAAAGTCAGGCCTCTTGAGGTCGTCGGCCTCCTGTGCTCAAATCAGTAGGCCTTTACCGACAATAGTGGGAGCCTACTCACGTTGATAACGAGTTGTCCATCCCCGTCAAGATCATAGCTGACTGCATCACCAACCTAGGAGTTATGAGCTTCACGGACATAACCAACGAGCAAAGCTACGTACGTTCACTGCTTCGTAGGTAGATGGGTTGATGCGGTTACCGTCAGAGACCTGAGGGGCAATGAATGCCAACCTAGAATATACGTTAGCCTCAGGAGCTATACCAGATTAGAGGAAATGATATACTGATTCACATATTCTACTTGGGCTCTTTTTTTGGCTTGAGTCGAGGGACATTCTCAGCAGGTCAATAAAGCGCCGACCAAATGACACACCGTTTGCCGCGAACGGAATAACCCTGTGGAACAGTGAGTACCAAAACAGCTTCCTCAAGGCCAACTGACTTCCAAGCAACCTTCTTCTGCTTCAGCCCAATACGATCGAGAGGCTTGAAGGTAAACAGGAGGGTGCCACCTTTAACCACGCCGCTGTCAATATCGTTCATTGCTCAATGGCAAGAAATAGTAAAGCGAGGCAGCTCACGGCGTCTTGATGATAATCACTCTCTTGAACCGATTGGACATTATGATGGAGTTGCAAAACTGCGGGCGGAAGACGTTTGAAGCACTTGCACCTGGTCAAGATTGAGAGCTGTAATCACCTTTTTACCATCAGCAGCCGACTAGTCATGGGGCAGCGGACGTTTGAAAGCTCCGGTTTGATTTGAATAGCCGCTCCGATACCATCTCGAATGAGCATCACCCCGAAATTGAAGGGGACGGAAACTTTGAAAATCGAAGGAGCACTCCTGAGAGGAACGCACGGTGACTTAGCCTAGGAGGTTCGCAGTCAAGTCCATTCAGGAGTACTACGGGGTTGCGAGCAAATGTCTGTTGCAGTAACTTGAAATTAACCAGCTTTCTTCGTCGGGTGGGGGGCTCTAGACCCCAGATTCCCTGTCATACCGTCTGCGCCTCCGGTCAAAAGTCTTGTCGAGCTGGGTGACGTTCCGCAAGTCTGGGCCGTAACGTCTTACAGAGAACAAGCCCATCATTGAGGAGGACGTATCGAGCTGAAGTGTCAACAAGAGGACGGCAATCAATTTAGGATAGGCGAGGCCACCAACGAGCCATAATCCGGGTTTATAAAAATGTTGAAAAATCAAAGGATTAGAGGAAATGCTCGAACGTTCGTCGTAACGTACAAGCCGGATATACAGCTATAAATGAGATATAAGAAACGACAGTCCTCTAGAGGTCACTCTCCTCCGTAGCAGGGTAGAGGTAGGAGTCGGGAAAGATCTTTTTGATTCGATCCTCGAGCCAGAAATACGGCGTAACGTACGAGACGTCCATGTCGCCTGCCATGCCCGCGCCACCGATGAGCATACCAAGGATACGTCCGTGACCATCAACGACAACAGAGCCGGAGTCACCAGGAGCGGAAAACGCCCCAAGCTTTTGGCTATAGGGGTGTATGGCGATTGCTATCGATGTCGACTTGATCCCCCCGTGTTCATCGTACTCTCGAGTAGCCGACTCGAGCCTGCTCCCGCGGCCAGTGGTGACCCCGGTACTTGCACCGTTTTTAAGGAAAATGATTCATTCCTCTCCTCTTTCGTCTAGCGTGGTCGGTTCGCGTATATCCTCCTCTTTTACGATGCCATCAAGGTGAAGAAGCTCGTCATGAATATATGGAGAGATGTTACGATCCTCGGGATTTGGATGTAGTTGCTGAAGAAACTCTGCGACGGAAACTTTTTCCTCTGGTCCCAGTCAGATGACATCGTACTTGGTAAATATCCTCGAAGAACGTATCGATATACAGGGCATTACCCTTGAAATCATCCCAATCGATCTTTACGCAGTCACGCTCGACCAATGCCCAGTCTTCGGTGAACTGCTTGGGGTCAGTGGCGACTGAAATAGGGGGAGCATAGACAACGTGGCCCAGCACGCGCTGTTCCACCACCGTCCAATTCTTGGTGATCTCGCTATGAAGCGCGTCTACACCGACAAGTGTCCTCTCCGCTTTATCCAACCTTTCCTTATAGGTCCTACGGCTCTTCGATACCGTGCTGACATTCTCGTCTGCAGGTGCTTCACCTAGTTGACTGAGGAGACGCTTGTAGCGCTCGAGATTGGAAACCTCGGATCCAATTTTGCCAACCATGTCCCTGATAGCATTGGAGTACGCTTGTGGACCGAGAATAAGTACTTGGTGACGAATACGAGGACGAAGGAGGCTAGATTTGATCCTATCGAAGATATAGAGGTCATTGCGGTGCATACTCGAAGGTAGAGCGACATGGCGGGCGGTCAACAGGGAAACTCGGTTGCATTCACCGCCCTCGCAAATGTACAGCGTCCCCATACCCTCTACCGGAGCTGCCTTTTTATGAGCGATCGCAATGCCTAGGACGCCTGTGAAGGGGCTACGCAAATCAGCCGTGGGGTCGAACCATCTCTCGGTGTGATTGAGGAGCGTTGGAGGGGCAGAGAGTGTAAAGAACGACTCCCGGAATGAGATTTCAATGTCGGAGAAGTTTGCGGCGGCGAGGATGTCTTTGCAACTGACGGCTGCGATCTTGGCAAGCTCGACAGAGAGTGACCTAGGTAGAACGCCTATCCAGATGTAGAGAGAGTCCGCCTCCCATCTCTTCTCAGCGTCGGTAAAGCGGCCCGGATCGATCGTCGTCCACCGCACTCCGAGAGAATCAAGCAGCTTGTAGATTTTTTCACCTAGCGTAAGCCAAACCGCTTGAATGGGATGTTTGCAGACAGGTAAAACCTGTCTCGGAATGCGATATGCTTTCGGGGGAGGATTTATCGGCCATTCTGGGCCCGTGCGATGTATTGAGATGGGAAGCGATGGAAAACCAAAGAAGTCTCTCCATGCTCCGGGTGACTCGTCGGTGATCTCCTCTGGCACGTCCTTTGGGATATCGGGGGATGCCACCCGTCTTCCGCGACCAACTTCGAGACATGAGCGGAAGAATTCACCATCAAGATTCACTAGAAAGATGAGAAGTGAGCAAAAGGCAACAGCAAAAGAACATTGGTACACTCACTAGTCGGCAACGGGGCAATTTGAGGGTGAGACTTTGCGAAGAGACGCCAAACTTGTAAATAAACCCGATCACCGGATCAATATACATCCTTGACGATACCTCGACAAGATTGACAGCAGCTCGAGCTTCGGTCAGCCGACACGACGTCACCGAAAAGTTGCAAATCTGGATAGATTTCGAGTGTAATGAACGGCTGTCATTGCACCTGCAGCGAAATTGCGAATATATGGGCGAATTTGACAACGGCGGATAGCGTGGTCGAGTTCAAGTGGCCGAGTAAGCTCTTCTGCCCGCCGGCTCGGCTCAAGGAATCAACCATTTCACCATGCATGGAGTCGACGAGGAGGAGGAAGAGTTATTGAAACAATGGCGTACGTGACTAATGATTCTCTTTCTCCTGCGCCAGGCTATACCTCCCGGTTTCCCCATCGTAAAGAAGTGACCAGACGGTCTTACTATCCAACTGAGTAAGATCCCTCTCCCAGATCATATTGGTTTGCACCTCGCCCGAAATGACTTCGTGCTCTCGATAGTCAGAGGTCATATAGGCACGCAGTACTGGGCGAAACTTGGCCACAACTGCTCCGTGGTGTCTACAATCTCTGTTCAATCAAGTTCATGGCCAGATCCAGAGATACGTACGCAATGTTGGGAAAATGCAAAATAGGCTCGGGATCAGCCTTTGCGTCGATCTGAAGGCCTATTGGGGCATGATGACTCCATGTCACAAGGTGAGACTAAGCATACCAAGGGCAATATCTCGTAGCTTTCCAGTGTTGTTCGTTGCGGCGATAGAGCCTTCCTCCTTGTTTTCTTCGGTATCCTATTTTTTTGGTATAAGCCTTTGCTGTCACGGGGGGCCATAAGAACTACCACTTACTTTGATGATTATATTTTTATCCGAGTCAATGTCATAGATAACCGCTCCTCCAACCTATACTCTGTGAGTTTCGGACAGAGGGCAAGCCAGACATGACACACGTCGACAGTATGGGACGTAGAAGGTGTAATTATATTGTCATCGTCGATCTGAGGAGCGATGAACGCGAGCCTATCGGATGGTCAGCAGCTGGCGACTCGATACCAAATCACGACAGCATACTGGCTCACGTATTTCACTTTGGCAACATTGTTGGCTGCGATGATGTATACTCCGTCAGCTATTACACTCGACCTGCCAAGTTACGAACGAGCTTTTGAGAATGGGATGATCCTGTGGAAGATCGAATCAAGCCGTGAGATGTCAATCAATGGTACCTACTTCCACACAACTATCTTTTGCCTGATGCCAGTATTATCAAGAGGCTTGAAGGCCAAGAGAAGAGTTCCAGCCTTGCCCAGCTCACTTGCAGACCGTCAGCGGAAACTGTCGATCAACTACGAGGCCAAAATTGGACTTACGACGATTTGATGACGAGCCTCTTCTCGTATATGTTAGTCATTTGGTTTTACTGAGATTGCAGGCGCGAGATGCGAGAGGGACACTCTGAGGGTTTTAAAGACTTTAGGTCCTACGGCGGAGCAGAGCAGGTTCCGGGACGTTTGAAAGAGGTCAAAGGTAAATAGAAATTCTCGTGGCAATGAATGTCCATCCGGCATGTAGACGTCTTCGGGTGGATGGCGAGCTGGAGGACAGTCTCGACTCCAGAATTCGAGGTAAACGATGCGTGAGGATCGCTTGAGAGAAATTCTAGCTATTTAGGCTATCTTGGCATCATCAACACGCGTTATGCGCATGCAAAGTGCTCATGGCGGCGTCGGGAGGTTTACTGTTCCTCCGGCTTTTGACCATCTCCGCAGTCAGGACGAACCCTTTTATGCATCGAATCGTGTCATACCCGTAGTCTTATCAATCCAACCGTATAAAGTAGTACAGACAAAGGATACTTCAAGGCCTTGGTTGGAATAACATGGGGCTATTTCTGAGCTTCTGGCTCCATTTAAATGGGCTATACCCACGCGCTCGACCATTACAAAGTCGTCCCTAACCACATTTAGTGTCTCCCAGACAGAATACAGCTCCTGAGTTACCGAAGTCGAGGTGTAGTAGCGCGATCTTATCTGCACGTTTTTCCTCGGAAACTGGAGTGAGGCTGGAAAATCTCATAAATTAAAATCGAGATTATCCCTGGGTCCTTCGAGCGAGGTTTGGAGTGACGTGACTGAGAGAATGGCAGCGGAATGAGCCTTGTGATGGTGGCGACGGCGGCGAATGGCGTCAAGGTGAGTAGTTGGGTAGTCAAGGCGCTTGCTGAAGCGCATCAACTATAAGGTTTTCGGCAGTGTCCAACCACTCGTACAGGGAAGATGCGGTCGGACGATGAAGAGGATCGCGACTCCAGCACAACTCGAGGATATTCCACAAGGCGTCGATACCATCGACCGAGGGTAATATGTCGGACGAGGGAGAATCCGTGGTCGTTGTGATGCGTGGTCGACGGGCAGGTGGCACCCCGCAGCGAATGTCATGAAAAATTTGACCCCGTCGATTATCCTCACGATGAGCGTAGGGTACAACCGAGTAGATGAACTAGTCCGGGTTAGTGCTGGTACTCGGCCGATGGAGTGCATTGCGAAAAAAACGTACCTCGAATCCGATACAACCCGCAGCATATACGTCCGTAGCCGTTGTCGGTTCCGATGGATCGTTGAGATCAACTAGCTCAGGAGCAAGGTACCGCGGTGTACCCGTATGCGGAGTCGTGGTATTGATCTCACGCATCCATTCCCGACTTTCGTCACTGCTGTACCCATCGCCAGAAGAAGACGAAGAAGGGTCGTCGACCACAACTCGAACCAGTCCAAGGTCGCAGATCATTGGCCGTCCATCGGCAGCGATAAGAACATTGGGCTAGGCATCGGGAATCAGATCGTGAGATGCAAAATGTGAGGCGGCCTACGGGTTTCATGTCTCCATGAACGATTTGCGGCGAATGAGAGTGCAAGTAAACAAGACCACCGACCACGCCTTGCCACTACATAGGGATTAGCCCACGTTCATTCCATGGCAACGTTGCTCACTAGACGGTATCTTTCCAGTGGTGAAGGGGCGTGCTTGTGAAGATATTGCGCAGCATTGCCGTTTAGACACCACTGTGGATACTCAATAAGAACTTTCTGTTAGAGGATTCACTCACTGGCGTAACAATGGCCCCGAATGGCCCGAACATTCGATCTTCCACGATACCATGTACCGGTAGGACGTTCGGATGTTGGAGAATCTTTCCAATCGTGACCTCGCGACGACGTCTCTGCATCCAGTTCAGATCTACTCTTGCAGATTCGGGACTACCTACCCTCTGAATGGAATGCCTAGGACCGACTGCCTTGATGACTTTGATGGCAACCTGTCGTTTGTTCAGTACGTTTCTATTCGACGTGACAACACGTACGTCCTCCATCTGGTGCCCATCATCGTAGACACCTTGATATACCGCCGAATAAGGGCCATCGTAGACTTTGCGTGATCGGTACAGACGCACGATGCTCGTCAAATCCCGCCCTTGAGAGTGAAATGGGACGATTTCATCGGGATTGGGGTCAGAAACATCGTGATCAAGAGCCGAGGAACGAGTGCTTGGAGCCACACCGAGGAATTGAGAGGGGATTGAAACGCCGGAAAGATGTTGCTGGTAAAGTGACAGAAGAGGATCCACTGGGTATGACGAAACAGGCAAGTCAGCCTCGACCAAAGGCCAGCAACGTTGATGTTCGACGCTGAAGGTGGTGAACCTATGTGACGCGGGAATTGTGGAGTCGAGAATATCGTCAACAACGAGCCGGTTCTGAGATTGGAAATGACCGCCACAGTCGGGTTCGCGGGACTCTTGACTCTGGGTGCGATCCCATGGGTGGGAGTGGGACTCAGGAACAGGGATAGCCGTTTGGTACTCCGTGTGATCATTGATAGATGCTCGAGTAGTAATGCACCCAGTGCTGTTCAAAGGATCAGCCGTCGAAGAAGGGCGGGGAATGCTGGATGAGCTTTTCGATGAAAGCCTGCGGCGTAGCCGTTTTGGTCTCGTCGAGATGGATTGCCTATCCGTTTCCGGAGGAGGCCAAGGTTGACTACCCAAGGTACCCATTTCACCGACAGGTTGGGAACTTTGTCGTTGTGTGACCTTGACTCGAGCTCGTAAAAGCGAAGTACCTGAGCGGATCCAGGCGAGAATACGGTTATTACTCTCGCTCGTGGGTTTGGGGGACAGATTTGGCGATTTCGTATCCTTCTTACGGCGGGCATCGACGACGGTTTCCCGTTTCGTTGAATCTCGCCTTGCTGAGACACCTTTTTTGACATTGAGCTGGCGAGAGTGATCAGATATGCAACTAGTAGAGGCGTCGAAGAACAGACCGGTTGGAGAAGAGATTCCATGTAGCCTTGCTTCGGTTGGCCATGGAGAAACCGCTTAGTATCACGCAAGCACTCGGACCCCGACTTTGAGCAAGAGGAGCAGTCGTCCAGAGAGTCGCACTTGACCTATATGTCGAAAGCAACGGTGGACATTGTCGGTGAGCAACGCCTCGGAGGTGCAACGCTGGTAATCACAGACCTTGAGAGTACGAAATCTCTCGTAAGAAGAAGGATATAGACGTTGGCTGACCGGTTGAGTGGGAACAGGACCGTCCTTGCTGTCACGACGGTTGTGCGTTGGGGTAGACATGCTGATATAGTGAGTATATGTCAGCTAGAAATGAATATTTGCACATACTGGATATTGTCGACCTCAACTATATCCAACGAGCCGTCTGTCGATTGCGGGCCCGTGACATTGGGGGTCCACGAGCAGACGTGGTGAGACAGGATGCATGTATCACATCTCTGAGTTTGAATACGTTGTACACTTGATTTTGCTTGAGCGGCTACATGCTTCACATCAGGGCCAAGTCGACGTCGGGTCCAAGAGACTACTCACCACTCGTCACACGCACTCGACATTCTTTGCCTTGTAATGATGCTCTGAATCTTCTTGTACCACTAGGCAAATCTGCCGAAGTAGTCGCTTGCCTGAGCGGGGGACACGACGCGGCTCCGTATCAGCTATAGGTGCCTTTAAAGGCGAGAGAGAGAAAGTGACTTAGCCAGGTGAGTGACTGAAGCACCGCCTCCATTCAGTTTGGTCGGGGACTAACTCGCAAACGGCAGTGTTCGCCTGTATAATATTGCTTGAATAATTTGCGCCTTTCTTGCGAGCGAGATACACGTCCGATGTGGCCTTTCCATCTTCGACCGACCCATCTCATCTACACTCGCTCAGAGGCGACGCTTTGGCCATTATGACGGTGGATGCTTCATTTATATTTGGATTCAACATCACCTCGCTGACCTCGAGCGCCGCATCAAGTGTGGCATATAATCATTCGACCAGAACATGCTCGGATTTAGACTATGAGATTATATTTTACATGATTTCACCCTCCAGAATCATTCCAAGCTAGAGGCTTGCTTCTTGACCCTTTTTCTTTGTCGTCGCTCGCCATCTTCGTACTCATCGTTGTCGTCTTCCGCCTTTCGTTTCCTCCCCCTGCTCTCCGCGTCGTAATGCTCCCCTATTCGCTTTTCTATAGGCGAGGTTAGCTCCAATTTCGTCGATAAAGCTCCCAAAGACTCACTGAGTCGTTCCTGTTATCCTCTTTTCTTCTGCCCGTGGGATCCCAAAGTGCGCCTCAAGCACGTGGCGCCGTACGACTCTCCTGTTGCGACCTCGATTCCGCATGGTTCGCAGTCGGTGCGGACCCATCGCGCGAGGCCAGGCTGCAATTGCCCCGGATTCCGCACCGGCGCCTCCCTTTCGTCAACCGTGAATCCTTGGTCGACGGGAAAACGACCTTGAATGCCGACGTCTTGAAAAGCTTTTGAGCCCTCTTGAGGTGCTCAAGGACCTCGATGGGATCCGCGTATCCCATCGAGTCTTCTCTACGTATTGTTAGCAAGTGGATGTTGTCCAAAGGACGTGACGTACCAAATGCTTCTCCTCCACTCCATCTTCGGTGGCCTTGGAGGCCTTTCGGGAGGGCTTGCGAGGTTGAGCAACCTTTTGCCTGGATGGCGAGGTCGGATGACCTTTTTACCTGAATGGCGAGGTCAGTGATTAGCGAGAAAAGGCGAAGGAGGACATACCCTTGGCGGAGCCGCTCTTGATAGGTTTGTCACGGCCGCTTGAACTGATGGAGCCGTGACTATGGATATTAAGAGTTTTTCCGCCGGCAGGAATCTTCCTTCCGACAGAGCCTGAGGTGAGCGAGCTCATTCCCTCTGTCCCAGACGTCGACGCGCGTCTCGAGTCTGGCGACGCTTTCGACTTCCTGGCCTCACCTGCGTCGCTCTCATGAGCCAGCAGTTGAATAGGTCTGTATCAATCAGTATCAATCAGACCATTCATGCAGAGTTACGAACCTATCCTCGTCATCCTCAAATTCAGACTCCAGGTCCCCTTCGACTCCGAACGGTGCTGGTTCGTCCTCCAGCTCTGGCGCATCTGCGTCGCCAAACAATGAAAGTCTGTCTGGCTCCGTTGATGGAACGACGCTGACCGAATCGTCCCATCTAATGCAGCAAGTTAGTAGACATTCGCAACATTCACAAGGGACGAACAAAGGGTTCGAATCTCCGGCAAGGGACTCTGTGCCTTCCAAGCTGGTTGCGAAAAGCGCCAGCGCCTATCGAAATCTGCTTGGCCTAACTCACTGTTTCTCCCAGTCGCTCCGCGTCCACCAGAGACACTCTATAACCTCGCGGTCGTCTGCGGGTTCGGGGGTGGGATCCCTTTTTGGCACCTCGATGAGGTCCTCATCGAAATTATACGTGTCCATGGTTGATTCGTTTCCAGATCCTGGCTTTGTAGACGCGTTGGTGGGCAGCGACCAAAGGACGCGTCGGGGGGGGGCGAGGTCAAAGTGCGAGGCCGGCCAGAATGTGACTCGTGGCCTCTTTATAATGACGCGCTAAAGCGGGGTTTGAACTCGTTTCGCGAGACACGTGATCCAAGCCACCTGCTAGGTCGCACCGATTGGCAGATGCCTTTGCCTGGAGGTACCAGGCGCGTGTTGGATGGATGGTATCTACCTCCGAGAGTTTCAGCTGCTCAGATAGAGGCAGATAAAGGCAAATTTGTGGGCTGGTCACCGTTGGCTCCGGACGTGGCTCAACGCGTCCTTTCCACCACATCAGGGCGCAGACGCGCACTCCCTCTGAAGGGCGTGTAGTCTCATCTAGAGCCTATTATGTATACGTTTGACGCGTTTACATGTACTCGTATGGCCCTTTGTGAGCGAGCACGCTTGTTCACTCGCGGCTGTTGATCGCTGACCGAAGGGAATCCAGTAGAACCTGCTTTATATGATCTATTCATGCTTTATACTGCGTCCTATGATGACATGGCCGCAGAATATTAACCTGCCAGACGGTTGCATAAAGGATCCCATTCTGCCACATTTTTGGAGCCAGCGCTGGCGTTTCGACGCGCTCGCACCTATTGGCCTGTTTACGGTCTATCCACCTCTTTCTCTCTCTTCGAACTCTTGTGCGATCTTTCGGCGGTGCTCTGATCATAGAGCCACCCCCATGCTCTGCTCTCACGCCGTTCCATGCTCCTCGCAGTCTACGCGCAATATAATATAGCATAGATTCCTCCTCTTTTAATTTCCTCTCAGAGTCGTTGCTTGTCGAAACTGGACAATCTCAACGGCCTACTCAGAAGCAAATAAAGGCAGGTTTATGGGCTCGTCGCGGTCGGCCCTGGGGATAGCGCAATTTGTCCTTTCCGTCGAATCAGGATGCAGGCGTGCAGTTTGCCTTCATGACAACGGCGATGCCAACTCGCCGTCTTGAGAATACCCTTGTATAAGAGCAGGGCGTCTCCCTCCGGTTTCAATTACCTTTTCTACTGATCCTGTAGTGAGGAAAATCTAACAGGCATATCTTTTACTCCAATTTAAGCCTTCCATAGGGTGTTTCGAGCGGTGCGTGGTCCATTGGCGTGATCATAGAGGAACAGTCCCCGATGTGCGGAGCCGCAGCGACGATGTCTGTCGTTCTCATGTGCTGAACGATCAGGTAATTCGCGGATTTCACCGTGATTTGATCTCTTTGCTCCTGTATAAGAACGATTCCGGCTCTCCAAGATTGACGGTTTTCTTTCCTGGGTTTTGGCTCATCTCAGTCCTGACATCGATTTAAACCTCGAGAATGGAATTGAAGCTACATTTGAATGACGTCGGGATGGACTAGAGTTTGCTGGCACCGAAGGTCACCCGAACAGGTACAAGTCTCCGGGTGGGAAGCGATCCCAGAATTCAAAGTCAACTGATGGGAGAGAATCACCAGCTATTCGGTTATCTTGGCGTCGGCACAGGGGTTGGGCTCGTGGCGGCGTCAGGGGATGACTATTTATCCCAGCTTTGGGCCATCTTCGTGGTCCGTACCAATATAGACAATATGTACCGAATAATTTCATACCAATAATCTTACTATCGTGTCCAAACATGCGTGGATCATTGCTTAGAGCCCTATTTGGAATAACAAAGAACTGATTCTGATATTCGAATGAGCTATGGCGTTCTCGATCACTACACAGTCGTCTTTTAGCCGCGTCTAGTGTCTCCCATATAGAGTACAACTTCCGAGTTGTTGCCGGTCTAGAAGGTCTCGTAGCGCTATCTTATCTGCCGATGTTTTCCTTGGAAACTGTGTGGATCAACGTGGGTGGTCCGTCTCACCGACTAGGTCCGAGGCGCCGCTTGCCATAGTCGGGCCATACCGTATAAAGTGGGCGTAAGTACTCGACCTTGGTCCTTTCCTCATCCAACCCCACCACTCCAAATCCACAAATCTACGACAGCAAATATGTCCATCACCAAAGTACACGCTCGTCAGGTTAGTTTTACTCTCATTTGGGTTATTGGGGTTCAGATGGAATCTCGTTGGGCAAGATCTACGGCGAGCGAGTCCAAACAGCTTGTTGTTTTGTCATCTATACTGGATTCAACAGTGTAATACGCATAGATCTGGGCGCTGACATGCCATCCATCCGTGTTCTAGATCTTTGACTCGCGAGGCAATCCGACCGTCGAAGTCGACTTGTACACCGCAAAAGGTGCGCATATAGTCCTGTGCTTTCCATAGCTCGTCGTGGGCTCATCGATTCGGTTTGATCAGGTCGTTTCCGAGCAGCCGTCCCGTCTGGTGCATCCACTGGCGTTCACGAGGCCGTCGAACTCCGTGACGGTGACAAGAAGTCGTATGTTGGAAAAGGTACGTCTACATCCAAATCACCTGCCCTCGCGCTATCATGCACACACGGCTCTCCTTTTCCGATCGGTCTCGCCTCGAATCACACCATGTTAACATATGTACTAACCGTACTAACAACCTATTCTAGGTGTGCTCAACGCCGTCAAAAACGTCAATGAGACCATTGCACCCGCCCTCATCGACTCTGGTCTCTCGGTCACTCAACAAAAGGACATTGACGCCCTCCTCATCAAACTCGACGGAACGCCCAACAAGGGTAAACTCGGAGCCAACGCCATCCTAGGTGTCTCCATCGCCGTCGCCGAAGCTGGTGCCGCCGAATCTGGCTTGCCTCTCTATGCCTATTTGGCCAAACTCGCTGGACACCCAGAAGGTGGCAAGATGACGATGCCGTGCCCTGCGTTCAATGTCATCAACGGTGGCTCGCACGCTGGTAATGGACTCGCTTTCCAAGAGTTTATGCTCCTCCCCACGGGAGCGACCAGCTTCACCGAGGCGATGAAGATTGGTACCGAGACGTATCATACGCTCAAAAGGTCATTCAGGCCAAGTATGGGCTTGATGCGACCAACGTCGGTGACGAGGTGGATTCGCACCCAATGTCGCTGGTGCCGAGAGAGTCTCGAGTTGTTGAGCGAGGCGATCAAAAGGCTGGATACGAGGGCAAGATCAAGATTGGACTCGACGTTGCGTCTTCCGAGTTTTACAAGGACGGCAAGTACGACTTGGATTTCAAGAATGCCAACTCGGATCCGACAAAGTGGATCACCGGCAAAGAGTTGGGCGACTTTTACAACAAGATGATTGAGAAGTACCCGATTGTGTCGATTGAGGATCCGTTTGATCAGGATGATTGGGAGGCCTGGAGCTCGTTTACCAATGGCACCAAAGTCCAGGTTGTCGGTGATGATTTGACAGTCACCAACCCCGAACGTATCCAGACGGCGATTGGCAAAAAGGCGTGCAATGGCTTGCTGCTCAAGATTAACCAGATTGGTACGATTAGCGAGAGTATCCAAGCGTGCGTCTTCTTTTCCACTTTTTTCTTTACTCTGGTATTCATCAACCATGTATAGCGCCCAGCTTGCTCAGTCGGACGGATGGGGTGTCATGGTCTCCCACCGCTCGGGTGAGACTGAGAACACGGTCATTGCCGATCTCGTCGTCGCTCTCGGGGTTGGCCAGATCAAGACGGGTGCACCTGCGCGAAGCGAGCGTGTAGCCAAGTGAGTCTAAACTGCCAGCTTTCCTCGGACGGGACGCTTACTCGTGGTGCTACTAGGTACAATGCTCTCCTCCGCATCGAAGAGGAACTCGGAGAGAATGCCGTCTATGCGGGTGAACAAGGTCTTGCCGCGGGCACCACGGCGCCTGCCTTGTTGAAGAAGTAGGCGATACGAGTGGTTGAATGGATGTGAATGCAAATTTCTTGAATGTGATGCACGAGATCCAGCATACCAATTATGATCGGCCGCGTCCAGGTTTGTGAGCGGCTGTGTCACAGCGAACCAATGGGTATCGCGTCAAGGTTTGTAGTTCACGATTACCACCCGTACCCCTCTGGCCATTTAAACTCCGCCGTCTGTGATGAGAAGATAGTTCACGATTACCACCTGTACCCCTCTGTGGCCATTTAAACTCCAGGATCGGTCATGGATCTCATCCACCTCTTCTCCTTCTGCGCTTTCAGTTTCTCTCTCTATCCAAGACGATCCCAGCAGACTTGCCGAGCTGATGATGAGCGCCGTCTGTGATGAGTGGTGAGTGTCCCTTGAATCGCGCGTCGACTCGGCCTTTTACCTGGCCATGTAGCCACTCGCTCAAAATTAAGTGTTTCCGGAGTATAAGCTCTCATATATGCGATGCATGTACTTTGGATCACAGGTCCTGCTCTCAGACTGTCGAGGGTACATGTAGTAGGGTGGCAGAGCGTTCGTCCATTGCGGACGGTGTCAATAATCAACGGTAAATAGGAATAAAGGTCGCTATTCATCATTTTACTGACGATAGTAGTGGGTCGGCTATCACACGCACAAGAAGCCGACGAGGCTCCGTTATTTGCGCGGACAAGGCAAGTCCTATTCTCGTTATCATACTGGATTCAATGAGATGATCGTGCACATTGTCACTTTGGACATAGACCAAGCGCAACTCCCCAGACCCTTGTTTAAATCATCCCATTCCTGAGTACGCCTACCCTCTTAGCAACGAACCAATCCCTTGTGGGTCGCCAAAACAATATATTTCATCCTGGGGGACAAAGTCGAAAGAATCTCTTTGCAATCCAGTTCGTTTCAATCACGCTATACGCCACGTCGCTGATAATCTTCTAGTTTGTCTCGAAACAGGAGATTTCGGATGGTGTAGGATCATCGAAAATCTCGTTCCTATCTGCGGACTCGTCTCCCGCCGCGGTCGGTCTTTCGCCTCGTGTGGAGAATGGCTTGCCTGCTCCATCCTCCGAGGGAGTCGACGAATATGCCAATACCATCTCTAATGAGCCATTCAAGGCTTCCATGGTCCTTCAGCATGAAGTTGAGCACCCCTTTGTCTCTGATGAGCCGCCAACCTCAAGCGCCATTCGAGTTCTAAACGATACGAGCTCTCATAAAGAGAACTGGGCCAAGGAAGCAACGAATACGCGCCCGATTCGTCTACGTGACATGATCGCCAAGCTCATTCGTCCTGTGGCGACGTTCAAGAGACTGATAAAGAATCCGATGCGGCAGACGCAACTTTCTTCCTTGCTGCCTGATCCTGATCCCCGTTTGTCTCCGCCTAGACGTATAACCAATCCCAACCTCACAACGGCGGGCCACCCATCACGAACAAGCCACTCCGCGTCCTCTCGGGATACTATCCGACCGCAGAATTTGACGAGTACATCTGGAAATGCAAATGTCGTTTTTTCTGATTACCATCGCACATCCACACCTCGTCCCTCAGACACTTCCGCAGCCGTCATAGCTGTGGGAGAGATCAACCACATCTTGAATCATTCCATTCATCCTTCATCTGCTCATTCTCTTGTCGGCCAGACAAGCTCGTGCCGCTCGCATTCATTATCCGCCAAGCATACCACAGTCAACTCGGATCCCGGTTGTTCATACTCAGTGAGCGGTACAGAAAGGAATCTCACCGGTCATGTGCACCTGTATCTGTCGCATAAAGTCTACGATGGTCCATATTCGACTGTTTATCCTGGCCTTTACAATAACGGAATTCGCGAAGAGCGCGTACGTGGATACTCCATGACCGAATTAAACCTATTAATGCCTACGTAGGTCGCTATCAAAGTAGTCAAGTCAATCGGTCCCATACACTCGATACGGCGGGTACGAAAGGAGCAATGACAACGGCCGAGCTAACCTAATGCAGAGGCGCCGTCGAGAAGTCATTACTGGGACGATTCTTTGTCACCCTAATATCCTCCCCGTTTATGGTATTGCCGAAGGCAAAGAGTTTGGTGCCTTTGGTGGAATCGTTACTCCAGTAAGTCGCAACTCCGATCGGGCGTGTAACTGAGCCTTCGTAGTGGTGTCCGAATGGTAGCGCTGTGCATTATCTACACACCCACGACATTTTGCCGGCTGAGAGATACCGCCTGGTGAGTAGCACTTCGACGAAAAGGCTCAGATATGCTAATAATCGAATAGTGGGAGGGAGTTGTGGATGGGCTTGCGTATCTGCATGCGCACGTACCGCAGATCGTCCACGGAGATATGAAACCTGTAGGCCAACTTCCGACTACAATTAATCAACTCATTAATGATATGCAGCCTAATGTTCTCATCGCTGACGATGGACGACCTATGATCTGCGACCTCGGACTTGCACGAGTCGAGGAATATCGGCGACCGTCTTCGTCCAATGGCGTCCTTAGTAATAGATGCTGGGAATGGATGGTTGGGATCAATACTACGAGCGCACATACGGGTACGCCGCGTTATCTCGCACCAGAACAGGTCGACCCGGACAATCCGTCGAGACCAACCATGGCTACGGATGTATATGCAGTAGGGTGCATTGGGTACGAGGTATGTTGTTCGCACATTATCTCCCTTTTCCCAGTCCTTTGGCACTGTACGTCCCGGCGCTGACACGCACTAGTTTATCTACTCGGCGGTACCCTATTCGCACCGTAAACACAATCTGCAAGGGCAAATCTTTCACGACATTCGCAACGGTGTTCCACCCGCACGTCGACCTGACATTGCAACTCCGTCCTCTACCAATCCCACCACGGCGTCGTCCGAGGTCCGTGGGATCACGATCCTCTGGGATGTTCTGGAGTTGTGCTGGAGTCGCGATCCCTATCGTCGGCCGAGTGCATCGGACTTGTGCGAGTGGTTGGCGCAGAACGGGAACGTGATTGTCGATGCACTCGAGCGCCGAGTATAATAGCCCAGCGCCTTTTCGTTTGACGCCATTCTCGGTCGGCCAAACCCAGACCTCTCTGTTCATCTTCAAATAGTTCCGCATTGATGATCTATGTGAATTCTCCCACTGAAAGGTATCCTTATTCTCCTGGCGAGCTATTTGATGAACGTTGCGTTCCATCAATCTGCCTCGTTGTGCCTCTGTTGCATAGTTCTCGCTGTTTTTGTTGGAAAACAAATATAATTCACCTTAGATAACATCGTCGTGGTGAACATTCAGGAGTGAGAGCGGCTGTCCGGCCAGCAGCTAGGAATCCTCGACTCTATACGGGTACCTTGTGTATTTAGATGAAATAGCTGCAGATTTCATCATCCATGGAATCGAGGAATGGCGTTGGGAAGATGCCACTCTCCGTAGGAGGGTAAACATTCGGAGGCGATGCAAACTGCCAGCACGTTCGAAAGCGTTCAAGGGGCCAAGTCTGGTGCACTTTGAGTTTTGAAGACATTTGGGCGATAATCTGAGACGCGATAGACTGCATTTAGTGCTGTTGAGCAATGTCGGGGAGTTTGTCTTCGACTGTATTGCGTAAGTCTCCTAAGCGGAGCCGTGTCGTGTTTGTTTGGCAGACTGTGTTGAGCAATGTCGGCTTGTTTGTCTTCGACTGTATTGCGTAAGTTCCTATAAAAGACCACCTAACAAGGACAGGACTCGCATCCGGCCCCCTTCCAAAGGCTGACTGGTGGTGGCCATATCTGTCTTGAGGAATGCAAGCAGACTCCTTCCAACGAAACAAGCTGACTATGTCGGCAGCCAGCGTCGAGTGGTGAGTCCAACTCGGACCTGCTTCCGACTTTGGCTCTTATTCGGATATGTAGCCGCAAGCATAAAGCCAAGTGCAAACAAACTAAAGGTCCTGAAGGATGCGATTTGTGCACCTTGGATCGCCGCATATGCCCCTCATCCTCCCAAGCAGGACATCAACGATGGGCAGACGTTTCTTTCAGTGTCATTGACGTTGAGGATGAAGAGTATGCCTCCATCTTGCTCGTCTATCAACAAACGCTGATGATTGCAGCATGCGCGCGCCAACACACGACCATTCTGTCGACGAGGTCGCGGCCACCACTGAGAGGAGGATCCCGCGTCGGCATGCGTCTGCTTGTGACAGATGTCGTACTCGCAAGGTTGGTGATTCTCCATGTCACATGTGCTGTCATTGAACGTGCTAACCGCGGACGACGACCGTTCTTCCATATCCAGGTCAAATGCAACTGTTCAAGCAACTGCTCGAACTGTTCCACAGCAGGTGTCGAGTGCACGCGTGATATCAAGTCACGCCTTCGTGGGCCATCGAAACGATACCTCGAAGCTCTGGAGACTAAATTGACCTACCTGGAATCTTTTGTTGATACTGTTCGTCCTTCGATAGCCATGTTGGCCAAATATTTGACCATTTTCACCAGCCCAATGCTAGGCAAACACCCTCCGAGACGAGCACCTCAAGGCGCACATCCCTTGTCGGCTCCGCCGTTGGGAAAAGGCCACAGACGCAAAACCCGCACAATACTCCGAAACCCGTAGCTGTTCCAGCCAAGGGTATCTTCGCTTGTCTGATTGCTTGGTTGATGGCGGCGTTTTCACTATCTGGAACCCAAGCCATCCAGCGGCCAGGTGCCTTGGAGGGTTTCATTTCCTCGACTCTGCCAAAATCCGATGGGACGTCTGTTTCAAGAACAGAAAATGGGAGGCGAAAGGGGGGATTGTCGACAATCTCAAAGGCCAGTTCAACACCGTCTGAAAATCATCATCATGTGGAATGCCATCGGGCGAATCCTGTAGATACATCGCACTACAACCCTCCAATTTCCCCTCAGACCCTCTGCGTTCGCGCACATGACCTCGACGGCAATCCGGAGTCACCGACACCGCTCTCTCCAGACGCTATAATTGATGCTACACCTCATGCTCAATTCATATATGATGCCGACATTGTCAGCCATTCACCTCGCACCGAAACAATCAAAGCCTATGCGCCTAGCTCGTCCCATCCAGTCGAACGTGACTCGCCAGCAGGTCAACGACCACTTTCCAGCGACCCCTCTCCCTCAATATCCCTGTATGCAACACTGGATGGCCTTGAGTCGCTCCCAATCACAGGCGACGCGTGGGCCGATTCTCTTCAGGGTGGCTTCTTCTCATGCCCGCCTCGTGTATTGAATCTTACTGGAAACACACATCTATATCGATCCAGCAAAATCTATGACGGCCCATATTCGGCTGTCTATCGAGGCATCTACAAGGACGAATATGGCGAAGAAGACGTGCGTACATTCTTCGTCGGCCAAAGTACACTCATTCAATTTACATAGGTCGCCATCAAAGTGATAAAACCAGTTGGCCCTAAGCATTCTATACGGCGGGTATGTGGCACCGAAACGGCGAGGGTCGGCCTAAACTGGTTTCAGAGACGTCGTCGCGAGGTTATTACTGGGATAAAAGTTCGGCATCCAAATATTCTTCCCGTCTATGGGGCCGTGGAAGGTCGAATGTTTGGACCCTTTGGCGCAATCGTCACACCGGTGAGTTGGTAATTTAATCTAACGTCGTTTATTGAATATAAACAGTGGTGCTCAAACGGCAATGCTGTTCAATATCTCCAGAACTACAAGCTCTCGCCACTCGAAAGATATCGATTGGTGAGTACTGTTGCGACCAGGGACGAGTGTCGGCTAACAGCAGTACAGTGGCGAGGTGTTGTGGATGGCCTGGTTCACCTCCATTCGCATGAGCCGCAAATCGTACATGGAGATATGAAACCCGTACGTTGCTTCACGTTCTGTGCCAGATTGCGCTCATCTAGGATGTTTAGCCCAACGTTCTTATTGCAGATGACGGACGACCGATGATCTGCGACCTTGGTCTTGCGCGACTCATCGTCGACGGCTCTCAACCCTCATCGTCTCCCCTCGAGTGCAGGGGTTATGAACATTGGGCGTGGATGGGTGGAATCAACACTACGAGTGCGCATACGGGGACGCCGCGGTATCTTGCCCCCGAGCAGGTCGACCTGAATCGTCCATCTCAGCCAACCACGGCTACGGATGTATATGCGGTAGCGTGCATTGGATTCGAGGTGCGTTGTCATCGCAATATGCTGGATAGCATAGCTGATACGACCCTAGTTCATCTACTTGGTTGTACCTTATGCTCATCGAGAGCATAACCTCCAAGGACAAATATTCCACGACATTCGGACTGGCGTCCCACCCGCGTCTCGACCAGACATGTCCTCTTCTTTGGCTGATGATGCACCCGCGTCATCCTCTGCCGATGGCATCGATATTCTTTGGAGTATTCTAGAGTCGTGCTGGAGTCGTGAGCCACGGTCTCGCCCGACTGCATTGCTCTTGCGCAAATGGTTGGTCGAGTACGAGGACATGATCGTCGATGCGCTCGAATGTGGAGTATACTAGTCACCCCGCCTTATTTCCCGAAACTATCCTCATCGGTTTAAGCCAAACCCCGCTGTACATCCTCAAATTGGTCGCGACTTGACAATCTGTGCGAATTCTCTCTCCTGGAAGGTGGCCTTGTTCTCTCGAGCTAGTCCAATCACACCAAGCCGGTATCAAATGTATCTTCGTAGCAAATATACGATGTTTTTGACCAGTTCACCCCTTGAAATGTCCTCAAGTGACTTATGGAGATGTAATGTCATCAAAATATGGTAGATTTCGTGCTTTCACAATGGTTAAGCTAAAGAATGATGGAGATCTATTTCGTGGACCGCCATTGCTGAGCTTATAGTCCACAGCCTCATGCCGAGTCTGCCTGCTGAACCAACGGCGCATGATCAGCAGTAAGTATAGTCGAGGACAAAAAGTGTCTAAATCGATTGTTCACCAAAGCTCTCTCAAACTGTCATAGATGGCATGCATAGCACTATCGGTATCTCCACCTGACGCACCTCGAGTTGTACAACCCTGATCCAATTGCCATATCGTGCCCCTAATCGCATAGACGCCACAGGAAAGTTACGAGCGCAAGCCCGTCCAAGCTTGACCCCAGCACCGGCACCAGGTCCTGGGTCACTTCATCAAGGTTGGTCGCCCTGGAATGACCTTGGATGACCTTGAACTGCCTTGCCTGGACTGACAAGGTTTTTACCACAATTCCGACAGAATGTGTGGGCGGATACGACGTTGGAGGACACGGGCTCTTCCCTTAGTATTCCCGCACTTTTTGATGATGATTTGAGTGCTGTTTGTCTTTGGGGACGTGCACGCTCTGCCCAGGCATTACGCGAGTGGCTCGTCTCCAAAAACGAGGTGTTTTTGAGGACTGAGTTCGCGTGACAAGCAATAGATTCACCGGATGTCGCGTGACAACTCGCCCGGACCCGCTCGTCTACTCTATTTACGGAGCCTAGAGCCACTGCGCATATAACGCACCTCGATCCCCATTGAATGCTGTTTGTCTCTCCTCATCCTCTCCATCTTCACTCTCTGTTGTTGAAGTAATACAGCATGTCGACGATGAAGATGGCCTGCGAAGCGTGGTGAGCCCCTCACTTGTACCTGCCGTCGATTTTGGCTAACACTCGACTCATGCAGCTACGCGCGCAATATCGAGTGTATACGAAATAGAACCCCCGAGAGATGCAATACTTGCATTCAGACCCGCCAGGCCTGTTCTACGACCTTTGGAGCTACCAATCCACAGTTGGCACCGCACGCTTTCGCGCACGAAGTGGCCAATCAACGGTAAATTGCAATTAAGTCTTGCGCTGGCATTATACTGACAACATCAGCATACTTGCTCCCGGCACCATACAGTCAACAAGCCAATATCCTGCTCATCAGGTCAGTTTCTACTTGCACCGCTCTCTTCGTTTCTCATGAGCTGATCTCCACTGATCCACCAGTCTCAGATCCAATATTTTGCTGGCGCCGCGGACCCTAGGGTGAACGACGACGATGGAAACGACATTGAGCAAACAGTCGCTCGCCTGACTCGTCTACAACGCCTAATCAACGGGCTTATTCGTCCGGTGGTGAAACTACGGAGAGCCATCAAGTACTCACTGAGCGGCCCTCGAGGCTTTCCTCACCGCGCAATTTTGATCCAGCGTCTTCTCCAGTTACCAAGCGGGTGGTTCCCGCGATCAATCACGGACCGCGCGTCGTCTGCCTCTCATAGGACACCTATTCAACCACAGAGCCCGACGTCAAGTCTTTTCGAGAGCGTAGACGTCGACCTCGAAGGTAGACAAAGACCTTTCGGGTATCTGGCTCAAGACGTGGATGCTCCCACTCGCCCGGTATCACTAAAAGAGGTTAATCTCGACTATCCAACTCACCTTTCATCTTTTCCTTCTCTCGGCGCCCACAAGAACTTGCGCCACTCTTCCGCCAGCAGCGTCCCTGACAATTCGAGCCCTGCCAACTCTTCTCCGTGGACAATTCGAGAGAGAAACCTCACGGGCTACGTGCGCTTGCGCTCATTGCACAAAGTCTACGATGGTCCATATTCGGCCGTCTTTCAAGGTATCTACAAGGACGGGGACGAAGAAAAAGACGTATGTACCTTGTTTGTGGGTCGACTCCCACTGAGCGAGCACCGCTTAGGTCGCCATAAAGATCGTTCGAGCCGTCGGGTCTCCTCGTTCCATACGGCGGGTGCGTCATGAAATATTGTAGAGATTGAGCTGACTTTGGCTCCAGAGAAGATGTCGTGAAGTCACGACAGGAATGAGTATTCACCATCCGAATATCCTCCCGGTATACGGCATTGTCGAGGGCGAGGAGTTTGGCCCGTTTGGCGGAATCATCACACTAGTGAGATGCTTTTCTAGATTGAAAAGCCGTACTGAGCGTCCATAGTGGTGTCCAAATGGCAATGCTGCGCAATTGGTCCACGAGTACAATCTTTCGCCACTGGAAAGATATCGTCTGGTGAGTACTGATGGGATAAAAGAAGGTGCATGCTAACGGTCACTCAGTGGCGAGGTGTGGTGGATGGACTTGCTCATCTACATTCGCATTCACCGCAAATTGTACACGGAGACATGAAACCGGTGGGTCTTTCCTCAGGTACTCCCCTGACTTCGCTGACCGCCGACCTCTAGCCCAATGTTCTGATTGCCAAAGATGGAAGGCCGATGATTTGCGACCTCGGGCTTGCACGAATCTTGGTCGATGAGACCTCATTCTCGAGCGACGAATACGCTAGCGACGAAGATCAGTCATGGATGCGTAAAATCAATACCACAACGCCGCATTCTGGAACACCTCGATACCTCGCTCCCGAACAGGTTGATCTAAACCGTCCTTCTAAACCTACGGCAGCGGCAGACGTGTACGCAGTCGGGTGTATCGGGTTCGAGGTACGTCGTCTCCCTCTGAAACTCCGCTCCATGACGCTTGACCAATGGCACAGTTCATCTACTCAAAGTTGCCCTACGCAAATCGTCCACACAATCTCCAGGGCCAAATCTTCCATGATATTCGTCGCGGCATCCCTCCCGCTTCTCGACCGACGACCTCACACTCACCCAAAACTAGTCCATTGTCGACCCCGGTCGATGGTGTGAGTCTTCTATGGGATATACTGGAGTGGTGCTGGCGTCGTGATCCTTCTTCTCGCCCGATGGCATTGCGTCTATGCGAGTTGTTGGCCAGTTACGAAGATGCGATTGTCAGTGCGCTCGAGCGCCAAACCTAACGGCTAGAGTTATGGAAATTTCCTCCTTCTATCTGACCTTAAATCAACTTGATTATTCGTCGGATGCAAGCGGGCTGCCGGTAAAGATACCTTGGGAGCCTGTTCTGACGCTTGCAGTCTACAAGGCATGTATATATAATTAAATGTGTTCATAAAGGACCATAGTTCGTCGGTTTTCAGGCTTACGTAATACACTCAACGCGCTTGGAAACAACTCCCAAATATTGACGACGCGTTTAAATGTCGTGATTCTCCCTGAATGGCCTTGAATACAGACTAATTACACTACCTTCGTATCATGAACATCCTACCAATATAGTCATAATTGACTTTGTTCGACGGGTCGTCGTTCTTCGGATCGAGGCGCGCCGGCAAGTCTCTGCGAGAGAAAGAAAGTTTGTAGGTGAAATTTATCCCGTATAATAGTCGCTTTGGAACCGTCTATGTTATGTATAATGCGTTTCTCCCTTATCTAAGGATGAGCCTGGCGCCGATAATGACCAGCCTTCGTAGGCAAGAACCTTTGATGGAGATGAATCAATTAATGTTGAAAGAGGATATGGATATGCGGAAATGAGGCGGAAGCGAAGTGGAAACGACGCTGAGGGAGGGACATGAGCATGGTCCTCTAGTTAGAACACCACAAAACAACCATGTTAGAGCTTGATAAGAGACGAAGAGGTAAATTAGACTGTAAAGAGACCAATGGATGCGAGCGGTGTTGAGAAACGAGCGGCGGCTCCAAAAAATGTGGCAGAATGTGATCCTTTATGCAACCGTTTGGCGGGCCAATTTTATGCGGTCTTCTCATCGCATTACGCGATTTAGAGCAGAAATAGATTATATAAACGAGGATCTACGGGGTTCCTTGTGGTCAGCGATCAACAGCACGAGTCCCTCAGGGTGCCTGCTCACGAAA